GGTGTATTGGAGCATCCTATGACTGAAACCCAATCATGAATAACTTTGTAACCATGAATCCCACAGTGTTTCAATAAAAGAAAATTTTAAAAAATGAAAACAGAGGAAGGAAATCCCAGAAATCTAATTTTGCAGAGGGAGAAAAAGGACATTATGAATCCACTTCAAGATTCTTTAGAAAATGCTTACAAGGGTCTATGAGGATACAGCACAAAGTTCGTGGTCCAATATGCATGTCTGTGTACTGGGTGTGACTGTGCATGTGTATAAGGAGGTCCAAAATGGAAACTTTCATTTTCTGCCCCACTGAGAGTAAATACCTTCCCCCAAAGTGCCATTTTAAATAAATCAACCTGGAGTCTTCTGGTCAGCATGGGAGAAGAAATATACATGTTTAAAATAAGCCGGCTTGACACAGAGTGCACCAGCCCCCAGCCTCCCGACCCCCCTCCTGTCTGTGGTAATGCTCATCCTAAGGGTTCTGTCAATGGGAACCACCATTATCCACCATTCCCGGGTCAGCAAAGGTGTGCACTTGTTCAACACAGCACAGGCTGACCCTGTCTGCCTTGATTCCCAATATTTCCTAATTTGTTTTAATAACTCTCAGGAAATAAATATTGGAATCTTAAACTGAACTTAGTCTAGAATAGCTTGGCTGCCCTCCAGCACTTTATTACATCAACTTCCTTCTTGCTCCAATCTACTATTCCCACAAAACCTCACAAATACCTGTGGGGTAAGAATTCTAAAATCCTAAATTGCAACCTGATGTACTGGCAGTGCCAATGTCACTGGGAGCCTTCCTGGAATACAAAAAAATATGAACAACTTGTAACAATAAATTTGTTGGGGATAATTGTGGTAGCAAAGCAAAATAGCAACACAAACCTGGATCAGCTGGAGTATTCCCTGGTAGGGAAATGAGAGGGGAATTAGATAGACTCACTCTCCAGACTGAAACAGAAGCAATGGGAAGCAGCATAGAACCCCACCATGCTCAGTGAGTAAAGATAACATGCAGAAGACTCCTGCTCAGTGAGCAGAGATAACACCAAGAAGACTCAATCAGTCCTAACTATCTCCATAGCCTCTCAGATAAGGATTTTAAGGGAACATGTTGTAGATGATTAATGAATTTGAGAAACAATGGTACAAGAACAAGGAAACATCAGCTCAGAAATGAGGAAGTTACAATCAGAAGTGACAGACCTAAAGAGTTTGGTAGGTGAATTAAAAAACTCACCAGAAGGAGGCCCAGACAGTAGAGTAACAGAGGCTGAGGATAAAAATCAGAGCTCCAAGGTCAAAGCAATAGTACAGTTCATAGGGCATCTGCCTTGCATGTGGCTGACCTAGGTTCAATACCCCACATTCCATATGGTCAGGAGTAATTCCTGAACATAGAGTTAGGTAAATACCCCTGAACATTGCGAGGGGTGACTCAAAAATCCTTCCCTAAAAATATCAGAGCTTCAAGCTGAGAATCAGGAAATCTCTAGGAAATAGGAGAAGATGAGGAAAGGACTCAAAATAAATAAATGAATAAATAAATTAGTTAATAAATAAATAAACTATGGGATGAATTCAACAAGTACAATATAAGTAAGGTTTATTGAAATACCTGAGAAAGAAGAAAATCCTGATGAAGAATCATTAGTTAAAGAAATCATAACACGGGGGGTATGGTGCCGCCAGCAGGTCAATCTATACCTGTGAGGCGAGTGCATCAGCGCCTCATGGCACCTTCAGACTTCCAGATACCCCAAAATTGCTGCTGTGCCTTTGGCCAGATCCCAAAAAGTTGGGGCAAAATTTACCAAGAAAGTAAATGGCCAAAAGATAGGTATGTGGGAGAAACACCCACAAACCACCTCCGGCTCAGCTATATAATTAGAGGCAAAGCCTCTTTGGTTCCTGATTGAACTGCTTAATGGCCATGATCCCAGAGATTCGCAGAAACAAATCTCGAAACCCAGCGGCTTTTGGCAGAAATGCGTCCGGTCCCTGCAGTAGATTACTGGTGCTAGGCCAACCCAGGTGGAAATAGGTTTTGTGCCTTGGCCTGTTCCCCCAGGCGGCCCAGTGGCTGCCATCCTTCAGAAGCCACTGGACAGTCAGGTTTGGGCCCCCAGTGATGAGACACGCAGGGCCTCACGGGATGGGGGGGAGCCAGGCCTGTCCTCCCCACCCGAACAAGACCCCAAGTCATCGCCCACAAACGGCCTCTCTGGTTCCTGATCAAGCTGCTTAATGGTAATGATCCTAGAGACTCAGAAACAAATCTTGAAACCCAGCAGCTTTTGGCAGAAATGCGGCTGGACCCCGCAATAGGTTACTGTCGCTGAGCAACCCCAGGAGGGAAAGGGTGCTAACCCTCCGACTGCTTCCCTCTGGCGGCTCAGTGGCCATCATCCTCCAGAGGCCACTGGACAGTCAGGCTTGGGCCTGCAGTGACGAAACTTGTTGGGTCTCACAGGATGGGAGTGGAGACGGTCCTGGTCTCCCCGTCCCAACAAGACCCCAAGTCATGGCCCACGAATGGCCTCTCTGGCTCCTGATCAAGCTGCTCAATGGCCATGATCCCAGAGACTCAGGAGCAAATCTCAAAACCCAGTGGCTTTTGGCAGAAATCCCTCCAGATTTAAGTGTTAAAATTTCAGAATTTCAAAATCACATGGCCCTACTGCAGTCACGTGGCATCATATGTTATTCATAACCAGCAATAGAGCACAAATTGTCTACTGTTGCTTTTTCAGCAGATCTGAGTGTTGGGGTAAAATCTCAAATAATAATGGTGGGTCTGGTGTCAAAATATTGAATCTGATCAAAGTAGAGAGAGAGTAATGTGGAAATCATCTGCCTCACAGGTAGGGGGAGGGTGTGGGATGGGGGTATACTGGGATTTTGGGTGGTGGAGAATGGGCACTGCTAAAGGTACGGGTGTTTCATTGTATGACCGAGACTTAGACCCAAAAGCTTTGTAACTGCTCTCACGGTGATTCAATCAATAAAATTATAAAAAATGGAAAAAGAAAAAAATAGTAAGGTGGAGTTCATGGACAATTCAATTAGCTAATCAGTGGCTGAATAAATAGCAGTACTCCTACATTAAAAAAAGAAAAAAAAAGAAATCATAACAGAATTTCCCAGAGCTAAGGTGTGCATGCAACCAGATTCAAGAGACCCAAAGGGAATTAGCCAAAGAGACACAAATAAAAACACTTCAAGATACACCATGAGCAGAATGAAAAAAGCCAAGGATATAGAATATTAAAAGCAATAAAACTAACAAAGGAAATTACATACAAAGGAGTTTCCTTAAAATTCACAGTAGAGTTATCAAGTGAGACCCTGTGAGCAAGAAGAAAATGTTGGGAAATATATGAAAAACTCAATGTAACAGACACCTCACCAAGAATACTCTAACCAGTAGAATACTCTAACCAATAGAATGCTATTCAGATTTGAATACTCAATAATGAGTTAGTTCTTTTTTTTCATGAAAAAATCATAGCTCAGAGACTTCATGACTTTGAAATGAATGTTGCAAGAAGCACTGAAGGAGTTTCTTTGAAACAAGCTAAATCTCAAGAACAAGCCTAATTTCTAAGGAAAGATGGCAAAAACCTTCATGTCAATAATCCCACTAAATGTTAAAGGCCTAAACACACTAATCAAGAGACACAGAGAAGCAGGGTGGATAAAAATGTACCCAACTTTCTATTGCCTACAAGAGACCCATTTAAACACTAGGGGCAAATATGAACTAAAAGGTAAAAGCTGTAAAACAGTATTTCAAGCAATAAACTCTTTTACAAGGCTAAGGTAGCAATACTCATATCAGACAATAGAGAATTCAAGTTTTAAAAAAGTCATGAGATGGGGAGGATCACTTTTCAATTATCAAGGAATATATACATCAGTAAGAACACACTCCTAATCATCTATGCTCCTAATTAAGGATCATAAAAATAATTAAGACAACTGCTAATAGACCGGAAAGATGTTGACATATTTTTCAACACAATAGGAGTTGGATACTTCACCAATGCTTTATCAACACCCAAAAGATATACCAGACTCATACTCATTAAGGAAATACTAGCTTTAAAAAGACAAAAATTCAAGATATGTCATCCCCCCCCCAAAATCAAATGAACATTCTTCTCTAGTGCACATGGATATTCTTTGAATCATATCCATGACAGTAAATTTGAAGAGCTAAAATCCTAAAAATTTTACCTATTTTTTCAAAGAAATAAAAAATTTCTTCCCAAACTAGTCATAGTGGTATCTTTGTAGCAATTGATATCAATTTGCTGCTACTACCTTATCAATCACAACTTGAAGCACCAGTGTTGACTTAGAAAAAGTTGAGATCTATGAAATTAGTCATAATTCCCCAAAACAAATACATGAGAATATACATCCATGACTAAAATATTTCATACACTACTGAGTTATAATTAACATTATGAATGTCCTGCCTAATTATAGATCTCTATTATTTTTAACATTTTTATCATCCCTTTGTGTCCCATGTGATTTTCCTTTTAAAGCTCATGAAAATTCTATAGCATTGAGATTGTATGCGCTGGTTCCATCACTTCTAGAATTTCTTCCTCATGAGGCAATGAAATTAACTTCTTTGAAATTCAAAAAAAATGTCAATAATAGTTAAAAATATATACTGAGAAGTAAACAGTTCCTAAATTTTCATCTACAGAGAAATGAATCACATATTGTGATGGAAGCTTTTGTTTTGTTTTGTTTTGTTTATTGTATCACTGTGAGATGGAATTGAAAAGCTTTCATGAGTGAGTTTCAGTCATGAAACGATTGAACACACATCTCTCCACCAGTGTACATTTTCCACCTATGTCCCCAGTATTCTCCTACCAACCCCAGAAGTTTTAAGGAGAAAGCCAAGTCTTGCCCTTTGTTTTCTAGAACAGAATCATTTCTTCCAGCTGCAAGAAACCTGGCTCCCCGCTTACCTGCACTGGTGTTGGAGGCTGGGCTGTTGGCCAGAAGGAGTCCGGAGCTGGGAGCTGGAGGCGGGGGCTGCCCATCACTCAACTGTTTCACTCGCTTGCGGTGGGACTTGCCGTTGTAGTGGACCTGGGCCTGTGCCGCAGAGTTGAGCTGGATGTTACACACCTCACAGAACGAGAACAGGATTTTCTTCTTCTCTTTACTCAACTGGTCCTCAGGCCTGTCGCTCTTTATCCCCTTTTCTTCAAAGCCACACAAAAAAGTTGCCATCTTCACAATTCCATCTTCAGAGTAGTTGTCAGGGCTGAAGGATTATTTTATACCTGGGGGGATATGGGAGAGCAGGGTGGGGGGGAGGAGAGAAAGGACACATGCCTATGAAAGAGGCGGCCTTCTTCTTTTATTGCATGACTGCAATTAACTCTCATTAATTGATTTAAGCTAAATGTCTCCTGACTGGGCTGGGAGGGCACTTACCTTGCAAACAACAAACCTGAATTCAATCCATAGTACCACATATGGCACCCCGAGCCCTACCAGGTGTGATCCCTAAGTGTAGAGCTAGGAGTAAGCCCTGAGAACTGCGGAATATGACCCCAAACAATAGATAAATAAATAAATAAAACTGTCTCCTGGCTACTCATATCACTTTTCTTTAAATTTAGTCACCATGGAATTACGAAGTTATTCATGGTTAGGTTTCAGGCATGCAATTTTTCAGTACTTCACCAGTGTCCACTTGCCTCCACCAATGTATCTGCAACTCCCATTTGACTCCCACCCACCATTCTGCCCTGAGAGAGGTGCTTTTAGATATATGTTTTTGCACTGTGGTTTACAATACTGTTGCCGATAGAGTTTCATAAAAGTGCATTACTACCTTTCAGCAGCATCACTTCCTCCCAGTTGACTGCTTCCCTCCACCACGGACATTGCCCTCTGCCTGTCCTATCCCTCAGGCTCCTCAAGTGGCATGTTTCCTACTGAAAACCAGTTTTCACATTCTTCGTCCTCACTGTCTCTAGGCATTTGTATTCCAGCATTATGTTTCTTTATATCTCACATATGAGAGGGATCATTCTGTGTTGGTCCCTCTCCCTCTGACTAACTTCACTCAACATGATACTCTCCAGATCCCTCCACATAGAAGCAAAGTTCATGGCATTGTCTTTTCTAATGGAAGAGTAATAGTCCATTATGTATGTGCACCATAGTTTCATTATCTAGTCATTCTTGGGCACTTTGATTGTTTCCAGATTTTAGCTAATGTGGATAGTGCTGCAAGGAATGCAGAGGTACAAAAACAGATCAATGGAATAGAGTTGAATATCTTGAAGCAGATATATGTCCTGTTCATCTTCTATAAAGGAGCAAAAATTATGAAGTGGAGCAAGAACAGCCTCTTAAACAAGTGGTGTTGGGGAAACTGGACCACTACATTTGAAAAAAAAACCCTCAGACTTCTAACATTCAGCACAAAAGTCAAATCAAAATATATTAAAAACCTTAATATGAGACCAGTATCCAAAAGTTACATAGAGGAAGATGTAGGAAGAACTCTCCATGACATAAAATCTAAAGGCATCTTCAAGAATGAAACACCACTGACCAAGTAAGTGGAAAAGTCCCAAAGATAAACAAATGGAACTATATTAAATTTAGAAGCTTCTGAACCTCAAAGGAAACAATGACTGAGATAGAAATAACAGAATGAGATAAATTATTTACCCAACAGTCACCTGATAAGAAATTAATATCAAAGATATATAAGGCACTGGAAGAACTTTACAAGAAAAAAAATCCAACCCCATACAAAAATGGAGAGAGGATATGAACAGAAATTTCTTCAAAGAAGAAAAATAAATTACTAGAAGGCAGATGAAAAAATGCCCTGAAGCACTAATCATCACAGAGATGCAAATTAAAACAACCACTATATATCATCACCCATCTCATATCACAGAGGCTGACACACATCAAAAAGAACAACCAGTGCTGACATGGATGCTGGGAGAAAGGACCTCTCATTCACTGCTGGTGGGAATGTCTACTGGTCCAGACTTCCTGGAAAACAATATAGACATTCCTTAAAAAAATCTACGAATTGAGTTTCCATTTGACCCAGTAACACCACTACGTGGAATATACCCCAAGGCCCCCAAAACAAAATGGACAAAAGACATCAGTATCACTTTTTTTAAAAAGCTACCTAAAGTACCTAACTGAGAAAACATATCTTTGAACATGTGTTCCTTGCATTGAGAGCACTTCCTCCTCCATCCTTGCTCCTTTCCTCATCACCTTCTGTTCACTTCTGCCCAGCCTTGAGATCTTAATGAGAGCACTGTCCTGTGTAGGGAACTTGCCTGATGCCAGCACAATCCTGGTTATAGGATCACACAGTGACTTGTAACCTTCCTTCTGTGCCCCAATCATGGTGTGCACATCACAGATTTTTGTGCTTGTACGTGGTTTATGTATGTTTCCTTGACAGAGTCTGAGCTTTGTGAGGGCTGTAACCACATTTCTGGGTGTCTCTCCTAAGGATTGGAACCATACTTCTTATATATTGAGCATTCAAACAACTATTGAAAAATATAATGATGCTAAGAATAAAAACTATGAAAAAGTATATGTGTAAGACACACAAGTATATGTAACACATGCATAAATTTGTATACCTGCAGACACAAACCCTTTCTTAAGAGGACGTAGAGCAAAGATTAAAATATAGTATGTCTACAACTTACATTAGGCAGTGTTTCACAAGATCTTTTGTAAGTCAGCCACTGGGAATCGACATATTTTCTTGTAGATGTAATGAAACAAATTGTTTTTAGGCATCCAGGAACATCAATTTAAATTTTGATGAAATTGCAATGCAGAACATCTGAAATATAAAATAACAAAAATACAACAGAGATTAAACTAGTAAATGAAAAACCAAAAAAGAGTAAAACACACTAAGATAATTTTATTTTCAAGTGTTGATATATTTCTTCATATTTTAGTTAGATCAGGTTATTAAGATGGATTACAATCTAAGTGAGGATTTTTCTTATCATATTCTCAAGAACCATGAATGATGAAGATAACTTTGCTATTAATTTTAGTTTCACTTTATCATATGCAATTTTTCAACTTAGTTAATTCCAGTGTTACTGTATTTTCATACTTATCAGTGATTATGACAATTTTATGGTCTCAGAATAAATAAAAATCCTATCCCTGGACATTTTTGGTAGTGGTGGTGGTGGTGGTGGTGGTGGTGGTGGTGGTGGTGGTATCATTTTGCATCATCAATACTATTAACCTTGAAATTATAATTTTAACTTTTTCATCAAAAAAACAAAAGGACTTTTGTAGGGGAAAAAAGAAACTTCTAAGTAAATTGGCAAAAAATCATGAAAATGCATCTGCATGAGTGAAAAATCGACTAATGTGGGCAGTATGTCTTGAGGAAAAAATAATCTTTTAAATTTGATGTAGCCCCTCTTATTTTTTCTTCTGTTATCTTTCCCAATGGGGTCAAATCAGTGAAGACACCTCTCAGATTCCTATCCTGGAGAGTCCTATGTTTTCTTCAACATATTTTATGGATTCTAGTCTAGTCTTAAGGTCTTTAATCAACTGTGAGTCAACTTTGGTAATGGTGTGAGACTGAGTTTCAGTTTCATTTTTCATAGCTATCCAGTTATCTAAACACCCTTTGTTGAAAAAGCTTTCCTTGCTCCATTTCATTCACCCAGCTTCTTTGTCATACATTAGCTATCCATAAATCTAAGGGCTTATCGATGGACCCTCAATTCTATTCAACTGGTCTTAGAGTCCATTTTCACTCCAGCACCATCGTTTTAATTACAATAGCTATATAGTATAAGTTAAAGCAAGGTAATAAAATACCATCCATCTTTATTTTCGCAGAAATGCTTTAAGGGATATGTATTATTTCATACAAATTATAGTGGAGTTTGGTTCTAGTGCATGAAGAATGTCATTGTTCTTTATTTTCTTTTTGTTTTGTTTCTTATTGCAAGGGCTGGAGCGATAGCACAGCGGTAGGGCGTTTGCCTTGCACGCAGCCAACATGGCTGACCCGAGTTCGATTCCTCCGCCCCTCTCGGAGAGCCCGGCAAGCTACCGAGAGTATCTCGCCCGCACAGCAGAGCCTGGCAAGCTCCCCGTGACGTAATCGATATGCCAGACACAGTAACAACAAAGTCTCCAATGGAGACGTTACTGGGCCTGCTCGAGCAAATCGATGATCAACGGGAGGGCCTTTACCTTTCTTATTGCAAGGGCTGAGGGGTAGGAGAAGGTTAGGAGATATGGACCATACCCAGCTGTACTCAGGACCTATTCATAGCTCTATGCTCTATGCTCACAGATCACTTCAGATTGTGTCTTGGAAATTATATATAGAGCCAGGAACTGAACCCAGGTTGACCATGAGCAAGGTAGGCACCTTCCCTGCTATAGTGTTGTCATTGTAATTTTTATGGGTATTGAATTGACTTTGTTTGTTTGGGTAGGACAGTCATTTTGACAGTGTTAATTATTCCAATCCATGAACATGAAATATATTTTTCATTTTCTCATGCCCTAATTATCTCAGAAGTGACTTAAAATTTTCAGTGTATAAGTCTTTTACATCCTTTGTTGATTCCTAAGTGCAGTATTGGACACTATTGTGTTGTATTTTTTAATAAATTACACATTTTGAGCATATTCTATTAAAAAGGCAAGTTATCTGCATGAAGTTGGTCTGGGTCTGATCCCTATAATTACATGATCCTCCAATTACCAACAGTGGGGCCCTGGAAAACAAAAATTATCAAATGAGATAGTAGGTATCATTCTTCTTTAAATAGTAATGAAGAGAAATGTGTGGACAAGAAAAGGCAGAGAGACTGAATCAAATATCAGAAGCTTTTCTTGTATTATTTTATCAAGTATGATGGCAAACAGCTAACCATACATCAATATAAGATATTTGAAACAATAGAACAAAAGCAACTAGTGCTGGAGTGGATATGGGGAAAAAGGGACGTTCTTTCACTGTTGGTGGGAATGCCCACTAGGCCAGCCTTTCTGGAAAACAATATGGATGGTCCTTCCAAAAACTAGAAAAATTACAGCACACAGCAGCATAGAAAAAAAAAACCGGCTGGACAGCCCCACAGCTCCCAGAGAATTCTCTGGGCCCCATCCAGAGCCGATATCACGGGAGGTACCAGATGGGGTAGGTGCTGTCTCCCTGCCTTCTCCAGATGGAATCCCAGTGACCATGAGCTTCTACAAGCATGGCTCTGGCATGCGGGTACCAGGACTATTTTCTGAACCACACGGCCGCTTAAGCGTTTTTACGACATTTCCTGATATGCCAAGTAATCAATGGAAAGTAAATGATCTAGCATCTGTCCCTGAAAATCAGGCTTGAATGGTGGTGGAAAAATCTGAGCAAAAGATAATGCCTAACCAAAATACATCTAGACTGTATTTAACTATGGTGCTACGCCACCCTGGGAGGGGAAGGGTGTCTATCCCTCCAGCTGTCCCCCTTCGCACTGGTGACATGGTGGCCTGCATCTTTTAGAGCCTAATGAACAGCCAGATATGAGACTGCATTGATGAGGCACATGGGACTTCATGGGATGGGGGTGGAATTGGCCCTGCTCCCTGCCATGACAATGCTCTGGTTTGCCACCCTCAAACGCCTCCTCTGGCTTGTGACCAACGATGATCCCAGAGGCACACATACCAATCTCAACCCAGGGGCTTCTGGCAGTAGTCCCTCTAGGTTTATTACTAAAATATCAGAAATTCAAATTCATGTGGCTGCTCTTGTGGTCACATGACATCATATGCCCTTCATAATCAGCGTTAGAAAACAAATTTTTCTAATGATGTCTTTGTGGCAGGTCTGAATGTTGGGGAAAATTCCAAATAACAATGTTGGGTATTTTGTTGTAATACTGAATGTGATCAACGTAGAGAGAGAAAGAGTAAAGTGGAAATCTGCCACATAGGCGGGGGGTGGGGGGTGGGTGGGAGGAGGCATACTGGGGTTCTTGGTGATGGAAAATGTGCACTGGTGAAGGGACAGGTGTTTGATCATTGTATGACCGACCAAGACTTGAACTGAAAGGCTTTGTGACTGTTCTCACAGTGATTTAATAAATTAATTAATTAATTTTAAAAAAACCTAGAAATTGAGCTTCCATCTGACCCCACAATACCACTTCTGGGAATATTTCCTGAGAACACAAAAAAGCATAGTAGAAATGATATCTATACCTATACATTCATTGCAGCACTGATAATAGCCAAAATCTGGAAACAACCCAAGTGCCCTAGAACAGATGACTGGCTAAAGAAACATTGGCACATCTACACAATGGAATACTATGCAACTGTTAGGAGAGATGAAGTCATAAAATTTGCTTATAAATGGATAGACATGGAGAGTATCATGATAAGTGAAATGAGTCAGAAAGAGAAGGACAGACATAGAAGGACTGCACTCATTTGTGGAGTATTAAACATCATAACATGAGGTTGACACCTAAGGACAGTAAATACATAGGCCAGGAAGATTGTTCCATAGCTGGAAGCCTGCTTCATGAGAGAAGGGGAGAAAGCAGCTGAAATAGAGAAGGGATCACTAAGAAAATGATAGCTGGAGGAATTGGTTGGATGGGAGATGTGTGCTGAAGGTAGATAATGGACCAAACATGGTAACCTCTCAGTATCTGTATTGCAAATTATAATGCCCCAAAGTAGAGAGTATGAGGAATATTGCCTGCCATGGAGGCAGGGAGAGGGTGGGAAAGGAAGGGTATACCAGGGATATTGGTGGTGGGGAATGTGCACTGGTGGAGGGATGGGTGTTTGATCACTGTGTGACTGTAACACACAATGAAACATGAAAGCTTGTAGCTATCTCATGGTGATTCAATAAAATTTAATTTAAAAAAAAGATATTTGAGACAGGTCAAAGAAGAATAATATTTTTTGAGTAACTTTTTTTGAGGGGAAGAAAGCTAATGAGATAACCACTGAATATCTAAAGAGTGATTTTAAATGACTTTCTCCAGAACTGGCATTGACTTGCATCGTTATTTGAAAAAATAAAATAAGAAATAAGAAAATAAGAAGCTGACTTAAAAGTAAAGTGGTCAAGACATCTCTGTTAGACATTTGGAGGAACAGTCTTTGAGACAGGCAGCATCAGATGGAGAATGAGGATGATTTCTTCGCTTCTATGTAAGTGTGAAAAGACCCTGCCCCCACTCCATTGCTTTATTTCCTAATTTTCTCAACTCACATAAATCCATTTCATTCACTGCTCAGCCATGTCTTAACCCCAGCAGCCTTGTTTACAACTCTTTTCCAAATTTAGGAACATTTTGAAAAGCCATTATGAACAAATCTTTTTTAATGATGTGTTAAATTAAAAACACACCCAATTGCCAAATTTGAGATGTCTCTTCCTCACTCTTCATTTTTCTTGATGTTCTCACTGATGTTCCTCTTAACAGGTGCTTATCTCTCTGCCCTCCAAAAGCATTTGGTTCCTGTAGCTAATCTGTCAACCAACCCTTGTTTTATCATCTTAATCAATGTATAGGTTCCAGTTTTGCTATTTTGTTCATTAATTTCAGTAAATACTTATCAACTTTCTAGGCAGAGGGCATACTAGTAGGGAGACAACAGTAAACATGAGAGACAAGATCCAATTGTAGAGAACCATATACTCAAATAAGAAATACAGAGGAGCAAGCAGTAAGTGACTGCAAAATAGGACAAATGTTGTGTGGAAGTCTACAACTTCCTCTCTCAGATTTACATTGAGATTTCAGTCAGTTTTGAAGTTCTCTCAGGAACTCT